ATATTTTGTATCAACGTATTTACAAGTTTAATGAATACCTTATTTTCATGTGCTTTCCTCCGTTCTTTGTATTCTTTACTATCATTCCTTGACTGTGTGATGTAAGGTTCCTTTTCAGCATCACTCATTGAATTCCATTTGGACCTCACATCTTTTTTCACCTAATATTAAACATAAACGTTTCTTAATCAATACATTAACACTAAATACTAATACTACTCAATGTCAATTTCATTTTACATACCGAACCGCTCTGTGTGCCATCTCCCTTCATCCTTTTGCATTCGGCCATACTGTTAACATTTAAAATTTGTAATCAATTTAAAGTTTATCGATACTTTAATCCAATTACCATTTCAACAATAATAACAAAAAGACATTGATACTTACTAGAAGTACATATATCCACCATTTGGTTGCTTTCGAGTCTCGGCCTCAATTTCAAAGTCATCTGCTCCACCAACAATTTTCCAACCCATTGACTCCATTTTTCCTTCATATATCAGTTTACGCAAATCAAATTATTTTGTTACATACACTTTTCAATATACAAATATAGATAACTACTCTTGTGGTAAAACGGTTTTCTTCAAAAGAATTTGAATGGCCACACCAAAATGTGTCGGCACATTTATGCAACCTATAATATCATTTTCTACCTATAATATTTAATAAAAGTATCGACATTTATATTTTTCCTTGAATATCTATTTCTACCTGCAATCGGTCCCAAATGCTTCCTTACTCCAAAACCCCAAACAACACATAAAAAACCCTATCGCGATTACTGTAATAATTAAAAATTAGGGTTTCGACAACATACTTTTCGATTCGACTGCAGCAACAAACAAACAAACTTCGCTTTAGAAACGCCTTCTGAAATGCAGCAACAATTACTCTTCGATTTCAAAAACTCTTCGATTTCAAAAACTCGTCCGTTCTATCTTTTTTCAGAGGATATTTTCCTTTATATTTTCATCGGATATGTTATTTATATTTAATCGATACAAATACAAAAGTGTCGATACTTTTATGTCAGGTGTCGATACTTTCGAAAGGATAATTTCCTATTTCTTTGAAAGTGTCGATAATTTATTACACGTACTTACGAAAGTATCGACACTTTCAATATATCCGGTATCATTTTACCGGTTTTATCATTTTGATACCGGTTTTATCATATTTTTACCTGTTATATCGTTGTGGATCGATATATTTTTTTAAAGTATCGACACATTATAGGCGCTATAACTGCTTCTCTTTTAAATTCACAAAGTGTCGATCCTTATATAACGTATCGACACTTTTAAATTTACCGGTTTTATCATTTTGTTACCGGTTTTATCATATTTTTACCTGGTATATCGTTTTGGATCGATATATTTTTTAAAAGTATCGACACTTTTTAGGATTTATAACTGCTTTTAAAGTTATGTAATTTATGTTTCAATTTATTTAATAGTGTTTCATGTTTTCCACCTACAATATTAATTTAATAATTTAATTTACACAAAATTTTATTTGATTGTTTTGATATTTTATAAAATATTATTTAGAATTTAAATTTAACAATATTAACCAAATATAATAATAAATATGTTTTCAACAGTGAAATAAGTATGGACACTTTTATAAAAATGATATATACTTTTTTGAAAGTTATGTATTTATGTTTCAATTTTTTTTAATAGTGTTTCATGTTTTCCACCTACAATATTAATTTAATAATTTCATTTACACAAAAAATTATTTGATTGTTTTGATATTTTATAAAATATTATTTAGATTTTAAATTTAACAATATTAACTAAAGATAATAATAAATATATTTTCACAGTGAAATAAGTATGGACACTTTTATAAAAAGGATAGATAATTTACAATATAATAGGTAAAAATATGACAAAACCAGATTCATTATGACAAAACCGGTAAAATTTACTTAATATGTTAAAAGTATGGACACTTTTATAAAAAGGATAGATACTTACCGATAACCAAAGTTTACCGGTTACCAAATTTTTTAATAGTTTTTCATATTTTCTACCTAAAACATTATTAGTTGTCAACATAATAGGTACCGCTAAACCGAATTTATTAAATACATTTTAATGTATCCGGTAATGCTGTATATTAGCCGTATATTAACCCGCCTTTCCTGAGACATTCCCAAATTTTGAGGTTAAAACTTAATAATTTATTCATAACCACTGCCTTTTATTTAACATGAAAATTGCATCTCCAAACACACGAGTGTATCCCACAAACCAAAACATCAACAGTGGTAATGGTTGCATTGCATTATTGTTACTTATTTTAAAAAAAAACAATCATAGTAAATGTCACAGTAATTGTTAAGAATTTACTACCTCTCCCCAACAAGTGTATTGTTTCTTCCATGAAGTTTCCAATCTCGACTCAAATGTAAACGCAGAACTTCTGGTCAAATATGAATTTATTTTTTTGCTAATAATTGCAACAACGGTTCTTATTGTGTACCTCATTTTATATGTTACCTAAAAAAGCCCATTTTCTTTCAAATATATATATATATACTCACTTTATATGTTACCTAAAAATTATCAAATTAATTTTTATATATTAACGTTAATTTAATATTGTGAGCTTTTACATGTTGAAAATGACCTTTTACATGTTCTTCATGACTTCTGAGTTCAAAAATACTTTTGACCCCAAAATCATTTTTAAAAACAGTGCAGATCTAGCTTACATAGATAAAAAAAATAAGAATATCCTTTTTTTCGTTTTACTGAGCTGAGGTGCTTGTTAGAACATATAAAAGAAAGTTTTTTTTATTCCTTGCTTAAAATGGAAATTTTTAAGTTTTTAAAAAATTAAAAGGCTGTGATTTTAAATTATTTTACATTTCATTCTAATTTTCTCTCATTTTATTATTTTAATTTAGGATAGATGTATATATATATATATAGAACAACCAGGAGCTTCATTAACCAAATATAGCATCAGTTACAATAACATTAGATAACCAAGGAGGAAAATCATATGTAAAAGATAAGAGTTGTAGAAGCATAATGTGCCAAAGTATGCACTGCGACATTTGTCGTACGTCGAATATGGTGGATACGGTAGGCGGTATGAGAGTCAAGAAGGTGCCTTGCATCAGTCAAAATAAATCTAATAACCGACAAGTCAAAGCGGTGATTAAGTAGCTGATTTACCACGTTAAAAGCATCACTTTCCATGATAACCTTCGAATAACCCAACTCATTAACCAAGCGCAGCCCAAAAACCTGGTGTTGGTTTCCAGTACCAGAAACTAGAATGAACAGAAGAAGCTGATACATGAGCTGTGTGAGAAAGAGCAAGAATAGCAAAGTCATATGCCCGTTGCATTGCCCGACACGAACTAACTAATTGTCATCCGGGTAACATCCGTCCCTCGTGCACAAAATTTTTTCGTCTATTCCAAATTTGATAGAGTAACACCACCAAGAAAGTGAATAAACGATTATCCAAAGTATCCAACACAGAATCCAACCATGAACCACAACTTGTGAACAATCCATAACTTACATGTGACGGTAACCCTGCCAAAGAAAAAATTGGTTGGATAGTGGAGCAGTCCCTTAGAGCATGCAGAACTGATTCCTCCGTTAACTCGCAAAAACTACACCGACCATCGGACACACCAGCCATGCGAAGCAGACTACCAATTGGCAATGCTTCATAAGCAGCCCGCCATCCAAACAAACGAATCTATGGTAACGTAGAGAGGCGAGAAAGTGTGAACCATAATGAAGTTAATGACATCAGAGGACATTGTCGTTTAGACAGTCATTGATACCCGAATTTGACCAAATAAGCTCCCGATGAATGCCCACTCCAAACTATAATCGAATAGTTTAAGATTATAGTAGCACCAGCATTAGAGAAAACCTGCTGGACAAGACTGGAATTCCAACGTGGAGTCCCAGGAAGCATGAAATTGCCCACTCTTACCGGATTAAAGGAGCTATCATTGTAAATGGTCTCTAAATGTATAGGAGTCGTGCCTCTTCAATTATCCACATGCATAATGGAACTGTCAATCTCAACTTGCATAAAGAAACCCGACTTGAGCTCTTGAATAGTCGCATGCAATAAGAACTTCTCATGTCTTCATACTTGTGCACTAGGCATTGCATTTAGTTAATGCATGTAGTATAGTAAAATTATTAGTTAGACACTGAGCTAATAAACTCAGCGTTCGAAATGTGTTTTCATGCGCAGGTTCTTAGGAGGTCGTTCGAGGGGAGTTATTGTCGCTAGATATTCCAGTGCAGCAGTCCAAATTAGCCAGAAAAAATTTTAAAATTTTATTAATTTTATATTTAATTTTATGAATATTTGAATAATTTTATATTTAAAATTTAAAACAATTTTTTTATTGTTTTAAATATTAAATAAGTCATTGAACTTAAAAACAATTTGATCCCAAATAAAATAAAATAAAAATCATTTTAGCATATATGTCAAGTCATTAGTCATAGTGGACTATTATATTAGTATTGTGGATCGTCACATTAATATCGTGAATTATCACATTAATACTGTAACGGTTAACAACATAAAATATTGATCAAAATGTCATATTAAATTTATTTTCTAGATTGAAAGATTATATAAAAAATATTTAGATCAGATTATTTTTTTAAAAGTATATAAAAATATAATCCTCAAATACCTTCTTACCAAAATAAAACTTTTTTTTTTTAATTTCGGAACCGAAAATAGAAATCATTTTAAAACTAAATCCCAGAACTGAAAAAATAGGAAAATAAAAAGACTAAAAACTCATAAACTGAGCGCAGAGTTTTACTAAATGCCGCCAATCCTCTAGATTTCGAAAACAAAATCACAAATGGCGCTTCTCCTTTTACCCCTTTAATCTATATCTCTTTCCCTCACAACAGAGCACCCACTCTCTTTCTCTCCTCCTCACTTGCTACTATTCCCCGCTTCCTTCTCTCAGCATCTGCAAAGGATTAGCTGAAGTGTAAGGGAGTAAGAGGCGATGGCGCAACAGGAGAACTGTGTCAGAGTGACAAGGGCGGCCTCCAAGAAGCGGCCTGCCGAGTCGGCGGGGTTAATAGAGGAGAGAGTGGTGACCAAAAAAAGAGTTGTTTTGGGGGAGCTTTCCAACTTGCCTAACGCTGTTGTCTCGGGGAAGGAAAACCAGAAGAAGCAGCTTGAAGGGAAGCTGAAGGCAAAGACGGGAGTTGTAAAGCCGGCTTCGAAGGTGAGCAAAGAAGAATCTGAACATGATAAACAGGCTGATATTGATGCTAAATCTGATGATCTACAAATGTGTGGCCATTACGTGTCTGATATATTCCAATATCTTCGCCAAATGGAGGTATTTTCTCTCATTTTCTATTTTCATATTTAAAAACTCAGTCACCTTCTCTGAAGGCATTATTTGAAACGTTACGGGATTTAATCTGAAACATTGCTTTAATCTTGTCATGGTAACTAAATTAGGGAATTTGGTTTAGCGATATATTTGTAATGTCAGTCTGTTGACAATTGCGATTTATGGTCAGTTCACTAAACGACTTTCCCTTTTTTTGGGTGATGCAATTAAAATTAGGTGGATCCAAAGAGAAGACCTTTACCTGATTATATTGAGAATGTGCAGAAGGATGTTAGTACAAATATGAGAGGGATTCTGGTGGATTGGTTGGTGGGAGTTGTAGAGGAATACAAGCTCATTTCAGATACTCTGTATATAGCGGTTTCTTACATTGATAGATACCTATCTTTAAATGCTCTCAATAGGCAAAAGCTTCAACTTCTGGATGTATCTTCAATGCTGATTGCCTCGTAAGCTTCTGATTTTGCTTCATAGTTCTATATATTTTTTCTATTTGAAATTATCGTAAATGTTGTACTCAATTTTTCCCTGTGGTTGTTTCAAGTAGAAAGTATGAAGAAATCAATCCTCCAAATGTGGAAGATTTTTGCTATATAACAGACAATACTTACAGGAAAGAAGAGGTAATCTTTTCCCTTTTTATACTTGATTGTCTTTTTCTTTTTCGTTTTTCATATTTATAGTTCATTGCTTCATTCATTTCCTGAAATTTGTTGCCTAAATGCGAAGGTGGTCAAAATGGAGGCAGATATACTCAAGGTCTTGAAGTTTGAATTGGGGAATCCAACAGTTAAAACATTTCTGAGGTAAGAGTGGTTTTGAAAGTAGATTTCTTTGTGGTTTGTGCCAGCTGCCTGAAATTTAATGCTTTATTTGTGGATTGTGTTTATTTTGATGTTTTTCAGGAGATTTACCAGAGTTGCAGAAGAGGGTTACAAAGTATAAAAAATGCCCATTTTCCTTGCATTTGTAAATTCAAGATTATCCTGTTATTGACTGTAGAATTTATTTTGATCTTATATAGGCTTCCAGCTTGCAGCTAGAGTTCCTTGGATGTTATCTTGCGGAGTTGAGTTTGTTGGATTATGGCTGTGTAAAATTTCTACCATCAAGGGTTGCTGCTTCTGTTTTGTTTCTTGCAAGTTTCATAATTCAACCTAAGAGACATCCTTGGGTAAGACTCAAGAGTTCCATCTTTTCAGGCCATTTTATGCTGTTGATTTGACTCCATTCGTGGCAATAATTTGCTAATCATACTAATCATCTGTGTCCTTACCATACATGACTTGTATTTGAGTAGAAAAGGAGGTGCACTTCAAGCAGTTAGAGAGAAATACAATCAACATAAGGTACGTACATCTGGTACTAAGCATTGATATCCGATAATAATCTATATTATCACGTTGAAATCTTATTGAAATCACGTTGATTGCTCTGGGAACAGTTCAAATGTGTGGCAGCAATGCCTCCTTGTCCAGAGATTCCAAATTCTTATTTTGTAGATGTTCAAGTTGTTGAAGCTGTGAAAGCTTGACATGTGATCTCTGATGTGTTGTTTCTGTAATTCGGCTTCTTGGAGAAGGCCTGAATGTTTGTGAAATGAATATTTGAGCATAAAAAAACTAACTAGGGAAACGTTTCCCAACACGAGTAGAACTAGAAGACTTTAGTGATGCTTAGAACAGATTCATGTCGATTGGCAGATTGTAAGTTGTCCTTTTTGCCTGGTGCTCAGATTTTTGGTAATCAGAATATATTGTATTTAAATTATATATTGAAATTTTTGGATTAAATGGTTCTTCGGTTCTTCCTCCAGGGTACTTGTCAACTGTGTTGTGTACACTTGAACGGTAACGGAGAATTGTTTTATGCTACCTTATATATGCAGAGCAACTTGTAATCAAGTTCATTATTAATTAATATTTGCAGCCTGTCACATGCACGTTTTAACTTGCTTTTAGCTAAAATCTTTACAATCTTTATATCGTTAGTTAGTGCTTACTTCATTGATCTTAAGTTATGATATTAAAGTCTAGTGTGCAACGCACTAGTTTTTTTAGGATAAACTAAATATATAGTCACTGAACTTTAGGGTGTTTGTATTTTAGTCACCAAACTTTTAAATTTTGTAATAGTCACTGAATTTTAACAAGCTTGTATTACGGTGGTTGTCATAAAAAAAAAAAAGCTAACCTCGCACGTTATCTTCTTCCACTCCCTTTTTCTTCCACGACCGAACGTTCCTCTTCAATGCCCGACTTTGAACCGCTTGCCCACCATCCCTCTCGGCTTCCCATGATGAATTTTGTGAGTTAATCATTTGAAGGTATCGATAGAACTTAAAAAATAGCATTATTTAAACCCTAAACCCTGCAACAAGTCATTTTTTTTGTTCTCATTAAAGTCCTTTCAGCTAAGACCCTGCCAGAACATAAATCTCAAATAATAGAGTAATTACATTAATTGTTAATCTTTTTTCTAATTGATCTTTTTATATATTTTTCTTTGTAATTGTAAGGGGTTGTTGTTAATATTAAGAATATGAATTCATATGCAAATTTGGAGCTTGAATTTTATGATAAAATCTTGAATTTTCAAAAGGTTTTTCCTTTTTTCCATTTCCTGCTTACTAATCTTCAAAATTAATCCTATAAATTGAAAAGGTGATCCTTTCTTAAAATATCTGTTTTCATATTGCTGATGACAGATTGCAAGAAGTAGAGAGACTTTGAGGGAAAATGAATAATGTTGCAAACAAGATGAAAGGCAAATCGGAACCTTCGTAACTTCAAAAGCTCGTTGGAAGGATATTTGCTCAAGTGTTTTGCTGTTTCTTAGTGTCATTTTGTGCTATAATTACCTTTTTTTTCTTTCCTCTTTTTTGATTTTATGAGCCAGGAAAGAATCTTAACAAGCACTTTTAACTTTGTAAGAAGACCTTGTCAATCTAAGAGATGAGCTTTAGCTAGAAACTTAATGTATACCAAAAATGATTAATCTGGTAGTTCTAATTGGAGGCGAAGATCAATGATAAAAACGTTAGAAAAAAATATTAATAATTCAATATAATTAATTTATTATAAGAGATTTCTGCTGCAGGAGCAGCAACCACAACCTAAACCGAAAGGACTCTAAGGAGAACAGAAAACTAATTTGATATTTATAAGAGCAGAATTTGACCATCCTACTCGAAGAAATTTGCCACCTAGTCCTCCTGCTTTGCCAATCATAGGCCATCTCCATCTTCTAAAACAATCTATTAATCGAACTCTTCATAACTTTCAGAGAAATATGGCCCCATTCTGCTCCTTCCATTCGGAACTCGTAAAGTCCTCGTAGTCTTCTCAGCATCAGCAGCCGAAGAGTGCTTTACAAAAAATCATATCATCTTTGCCAATGGCCCTCAGTTGCTTGCTGGCAAACACATGAATTATAACAACAGCACGATTGGATTGGCTCCCTATGGTGATTATTGGTGTAACCTTAGGCGTCTCACCACCATGGAGCTCTTCTCCACAAGCCGACTGGCCATGTTTGCTAGCATCGGGCATGAGGAAGTTCAGTTGTTGCTAAAGGAACTATTCCAGGCCTCGACCCGAAACCGGCTCAGGTGCAACTTACATCAAAGTTTATAGAGGTTGTTTTCAATATTATTCTAAGGATAATCGCTGGAAAACGGTATTACAGAAAAGATGCAGTGGACAAAGAAGCAGAGGAGTTTCGAGACTTCATGAGAGAGGGTGTGGAGATCCATGGAATCGCACATATGAACTTTTTTCCTGTTCTGCAGTGGGTCGACTTCCAAGGTGTGGAGAGGAGGATGAAAGGAACCATGAAGAAACTAGACAAGTTCTTTCAGGCTCTTGTTGAAGAGCATAGAAAGATGAGGGAAGATTCAACCGATCAGCCTTTGGGTTCATCTGATGGAAGCCACAAAGGGACAAAAACAACTTTAATCGATATCATGTTATCCTTGCAACAAACAGAACCATAACTCTATACCGATCAAACCATAAAAGCAGCTATCTTGGTAAGATCCATGAACCTTAAATCCTTTCCCACCAACTTCGCAACCTCCCCCGGAGGGTCTTGGAAGACTGTCATCCCTATCTCTTTACCTCTTGCCAAAACAGCCAGTTTGTCAGCAACACAATTGGCTTCACGCTGGATGTGCGTGAATTTGGTGCTCCACTCCCTAAGCAGCAAGCTACGTATGATAAAAACAAGAGCACCATTCTCACCCTATTGGTTTGGGCCGTTAAGGATCTCCACTACCTTCAAGCAGTCAGATTCAAGTTCGACTCTCCGGTATCCAAGGTTCCATGCCTGGTTTAAAGCCTCAAAAACAGCCCGTAACTCTGCCATGTGGATAGATCAAATACCCAGACTCGTAGCAAAGCCAATGATCCAACGTCCATGCTCATCACGCAAAGCGCTCCACCAACCGCTCCATCCGTATTCACCTTTATCCAAGATGTAGGTGTTGAAAAAACAAAAGTCATACTTTGCTGCAAATTTGAATTTTAAATTTGGCAGTTTCAATGTGCGTGAATTCGGTGGTAGCACATTTTTATTGATTTTTTATATGGTAAAATTGTTAAAATTAATCATTGTACTTTAGGGTATTTATAAGATTAGTTCTTAAACTTTAACTATAAATACCCTAGCTCATTTAGTTTCAAAATCATCCCAAAGCATTCTAACTTTCTTCTAATACTAGAGAAAATTTAGAAAGTTTCTTGAGAGTTATTTTCTCCTTTTTATCAAGAGATAATTATCATTGTTATCTCCTTGGTAGATCGAGAGAAGTTGTAATTCCTATTTTCTCATAGTGAAATTCTTCTACCGTTGTCCGTTGTTTTTACCCTATATTATTTAGGGGTTTTCCACGTAAATTTTGTATCTCTTTTATCATCATTTTTATTTTCTCAAATTATCAGTTGCGATTTTGCTCTATCCGATAGCCGTATTTCGCAACAATTGGTATCAGAGCCAGATTAGAGTGTGTAATATCTACTTATTGTCTTTGTGATGGCCACCAAAAGGTGGATCCTCTAACATAAGAAAGTAAGAAGGTATTACCCATTTTTTGAAGGTTCCAGAAAACTATTCACGATAGTGAAATAATAGGAGCTATACGAAATAGAAGCTATGACAATGAAATTTGATATTGAAAAGTTCAATGAAAGAAATTTCTCATTGTGGAAATTGAAGATGAAGGCCATCCTGAGGGAAGACGGTTGTCTAGCAGCTTTCAGTGAAAGGCCGGTGGATTTCACAGATGATAACAAATGGATCTAAATGGATGGGAATGCTATGACAAACTTTCATCTAGCATTAGCAGATGAAGTATTGTCAAGCATCGAGGATAAGAAGACATCTAAGGAGATATGTGATAATCTCACCAAATTATACGAGGCCACATCGTTGCACAATAAAATTTTCCTATACTC